GCCCTTGCCAGGCAAGAGCTTATTCTACTGAGCTATTTGCCTGGCCCTGAAGACTTGATTCTTAGTTTAATCTGAAATGTTTGGGGGCTTGAAGGGCGAAGTACCTCCATCAACAGAATCCTTGTCCAGCCTTAGTTTGATCCTGTGGAGGAGGAGGAGGTGGACTTCAGTGCAGACTTCACGTGCCAGGAGATGAAGGCGCGGGCTGGATGTGTGCCTTTGCACATTCTCTGCACTATGTGCCGTCACACTAACCCGAAATAGCACCGCTTAGCTAAGATTCATTTTTACTCATTCTTGTTCTAAAATCACAAACTCCATTTGACAATATGATAGGATAAAATTATATTTTTAAGCTTTGCCAGCCACACTCCAGAACTCTGCCAAAATAACAGTTTCTTCTCTCCAACATAGCTTTGCCTGAAACCTGGGGAGCTGAGTGGGCAGTGGCCTTTGGAGTGTGGGTATTGGGTAAATTGGGACAGTCTTGGCTCCTGTCCTGTGGTCTTCCGGAGTGCTGGTGGTTGAAGGTAGAGGGCCATGAGGAAGAGGGCAGAAGCTCCTGGGCTGTGTGTCCTCTCTGGCTGACCTGGCGTGGGCTGTGCGGTGTGGGTACGCTGACGTGGGAGCCTTGCTTGCTGCCTGTGCTGTGGTCAGGGCTGTGAGGTGGGCACCGGCAGCATGGCTGCTGGGGGGCTGGGCTGCTGGGGTCACCAGGAGTTAGTAGTGAGTGTTGCGAATGCCCGTGAGGAGGAACTGTGTGACTCATTTGCATGCCTTTGCCTACGCTGGTGCTGCTGACACCAGGCCCACCTTGGGCCCTGCTCTGAGTCACGTGTCCTCAGTGGCCCAGGATGCTGACAGACCTGGAGCAGCAGAGGTTGTTGCTGCAGTCCCCCAGGCGGAGGTAGTCGGCTGTGTGTGGACCCGGTGACCCACCCAGGTGCCCAAGGTCTTGGGGGTGAGATGCTCTTGCTGAGCGCAGGACAGGGTGCCCAGCTGCTGCAGGACAGCGTGTGGCCCTGACCAGCTCGTGGACATTGATGTCTCCCTGGAGGTGTGGTTAACAGCTGCCGCTGGGTGTCTGTCTGTCGGGGCAGTGGTGCTTGGAAGGATACTCAGGTTGGGAGGCAGATTTGCTCATGTCAAAGGGCACTGATCGGAATCACTCCCAGAATATTAGGCCCTGCTCTCTGGGAGCTTGTGCTTATATGGGATAAGCAAGCAGGAAGTGAGTACAGAGGCAGAATGGCTTGTGCACTGGGGATTGTTTCATAGAATGTGCATCATAGTGACCAGCCATTTTTTAAGAGATGAGAGCAACCAGAATTGAACGGGAACTGTTACCCGGGCAACTAAGAAACTGAAATATCCTGGCTGTTGGTACATTTCTGCCACAGCGTTGTCCTATGCGGAGGTAGTCTGCTCCTAGATGGTCTGAGGGCTGCGCTTAGCGTCCTGTTCCTCCTGTCATACTTTGAGATGAGCCGCACTTCTGTCATTGGTCTGAGGGTGACGTTGAATGAAGGTGGCCTTCTGAAGCGATGCCTCAGCCTGGAGAGCTCCCCCCACCCCCCATGCAGGCTGTCTGGGCCTGGGTTAGCTGTTAGGGGTCGCTGGGCCCAGGGGGAGGCTGAGCAGCAGCCCGTGGGGCGCAGAGGCTTTGGTGGGCCTTGGCTGCACGTGCTTCGGCTCACCCCAACCCCTGTCCCTGTGCAAGGCCGGGTAGCAGAGCTCCTGGGGCAGGCAGCACCTCCCACTCCTGCCCTCACTCGCGCGTGGTTGTGCCCGCCTGTCTCCGCCCCGAGACCCCAGGCCGTTTGAGAAAGCTTCTGTGTCCCTCTGAACATGGGCACTTTTCTTGCCTGGCTTTCTGTGCTTTGGTGTTGTGCTTCCTTCTGAAGCACTGAAGCAAATGATGAGAAGGAAGGCTTCAGTAGTGAGCTCGGTGGTAGGTGCTTCTTGGTGGAAGGCTGGTAAGTGCTTGTATCTTGGGAATGGTGGATTATTCTGTGGCATGTGTAGTTCACTCCAAAGTACAGGTGAGTTTCCATCGGGCTGGGCTCTGCTCTAGCTCTTGTCCTTCTCTGTGCCTCTGGCGCCTGTCTCTGTCGTGAGGAGAGGGGCATGGTCTCCATGTCTGGGTCCCCCTGCCAACCCTACTCTGATCCAGAGGTGGCTTCAGTATTTTGCTGTCCTGGCATCCCCGGGAATCGCATGTGAAGCTCCCAAAGTGGGCTCTTTGTCCTCTTCTGTTCTCCTCAGCTGGGAGCCCACAGCAACGTGGGCAGGAGGCCCTGGGGAAGCTTGCCCAGTCAGTGGCTTATTTCTGCATGCGTGTTCTGGTGGAGCTTTCTACTTCCTCCCCCTGTGCACAATTGCACCCTGCAAAGGTTGGTTTCTGTCTTTTCTCTCCTCCTCCTCCTCCTCTTCCTCTTCCTCTTCCTC